GATTTCAACATGCCAGATTAAACTACTCAGTCTGATAAGAAAACGGAAGGTACTGCCCTGGCCTTGAGGAACTAGAAAAGTAATAAAGATCACTGGCATTGATAACATTAAGAACTGGGAGGCTAAGATGTTCCTTGAGTCATTAACGTCATTTGGGATCACAGCAAGGAAGAAAGACTACAAACAAGATTCCGAAAGGGATGTCCTCCTGGAAACCACAGTCCCAGATACTAAAAGTACAGAACAATCTTTTTTTTTTAAAGAACAATGCAGGATTTTTAACAGTGATAACTTTATGCTGCCTGCCACTTTACTTATTTCTTCATTGTAAGTTTCCACATGGTCATTTAACCATTCATTCAAGAAGTATTTACTACATCATTATGCTATGGTAGTGAGAACACAATGGTAAAATAAAGCAAAGCCCTCATCCTTTAAGCTTATAGACCTCTTGAAAAAGTTGCAAAAGAAAATACACTTCATTCCCCACTAATCAGAAAATCCTATTAGAACTATTGGATTGGCTAAAGAACCTGAGGATCTCTCTCCATTGTTACTGCCCTGATCCAAGGGCCACACCCTCAAAGTGTGTATGGATCACTACAGAAGCCTTCCAACAGTCTCTGCTTCTATCCTTACCCCTATGAAAATGTAGATAAATTTTGTCATTTCCCTGCTCCAAACCTCCAATGACTTCTATCTCAGCAAGAGTAAAACACTAAAGTCTGTACAAAAGCCTCTAAGGCCTTACATGAAGTGGGCCTCATTACCTCACTAACCCAACCTCCTTCCGCTCACTGTGCTGGAGCCACTAGCTTCTTGGCTATTTTTCAACATGGCAGGCATGCCCTCACCTCTGAGACTTGGTCCACATGCCTGCAACATGCTTGCTCCAGAAAGCCACATGATTCATTTCCTCACTTCATCCAGTTCTTTCTGAGCTATCCCATTCTCAGAGATGTCTTCCCTGACATTTATTCTTTTTGAAATACCAAATTCTATTTGAAATTGCATCCACACAAAACACTTTCTTTTCCCTTTTCCTTGCTTTATTCTTCTCAGTAATACCAACTGTCTCCCTCTGTATTTGGGTTTTGCCTGTTTCCACCCAGTAAGGTATACAGATTAGAACACACAAAAGTTCAAAGATAAGAAATAACTTGGCACACCTTAAAATCAGTTCATTACGCCTGGATCAAATAATATAACATAACCACATATATAAGGTCAACAGATTTCTCACAAAAGTGAAAATTCAATTCAAGTGGAAAAAGTAACATTTTCAGCAAATGGTTATTACTACAACAAGAAAAATGTGGTTTCCATATCCACATGGAAGAAATGAACCTCAACCACAATTTCAGACCATACAAATAAGTTAAAATTAGTCAAACATTGAAATGTACAAGCTAAAAGACTTTTTCATCTTTCAGTCTTTTTAAAAATGAAGTGCATTTGATATACAGTATTATAAGTTATAGGTTACCACATAGTAATTCACAATTTTTAAACGTTATAGCCCATGTATAGTTATTATAAAATATTGACTATATTCCCTGTCTTGTACAATATCTCCAAGTTGCTTGATTTCTTTTTAACCAGAAGCAAACATAGGATAGTTTTATAACCTTGAAGTAGGCCAAAATTTTGTAGTACCCAAAAAGCAAAAACCATAAAAGAAAAGGCTGACAAAACTATTTCTCTCTGACAGACACCATTAACAAAATGAAAAACAAGCCACAGACTGAGAAAAAAACATACACATCACATATTTCTGATTGTGGCATAAGGCCTAAAATTAAGGCCCAACACACACTGCTTTGACAACTGGTCAAACTGGAAGGGCTTCAAATGGCCTAAGTGCAAGTTCCCCTCGCCACTCGTTCCCACAGATAAGGTCCTCGATCCAGCTTCTCCTCTTCACACGGCCTGCTTATCCCTATGCAGCTGGTTTCAACTCCCTGCCAGACCCTGGAATTACTCAAATAAGCCAATCACATCTCCTGTAGGAATGGGATGGGGCAGAGGGGCCTTACCTCCCTGATAGCATACCTTATACCTCACACCATAATGCCTGCCTGTCACACACCTGATTATTGAATTTGTTCCCAAGTGCAGTTCTCGTGTGGTCCTGCATGGCACGCAATGTCTTCTTCCCCTGGGCTGTGAGTATATATAACAAACTATGTTGATCTCATTTGTCTAATTATGTGTTGAACCATCCCCATAAGCCTAGAACAGGAATCCTTCCCTCACCGATGGAATGAGTAGGAAGCAGTCAAAACACTGATAGAGAATAAAGAACTCTTACAATTCATTAAAATATAAATATTCCAATTCTCAAAATGGTTGGATTTTCAGTTTCAGACAAAATGGAGCAGCTACATTTCTCTATTCTACCTGCTAAGTACAGCTGAAATCCCTAGGCATTATATAAAAAACAAGAAAAATAAAAAGCTGAAAGGTGAAGAGAAGAAGGCAGACCAGTTAAGTTCTCAGGAGCCAAGGACTAAGACAATGGTGAGTACGCTGGGTTTTCTTTTCACTTCATATATTCTGAACTGTGTGCTGGCAAAGCCAGCAACCTGAAAACTTCAGTGGACACTTACTAAAAAAGCCCTAAGAAAAGTCTTCTCTAGCCACTTGAGCAGGAAACTGAAAATCTGGTGTGTTATATGCTGGGTGTGTTACATTACCAAGGGCCTTCAGTGGGTACTAAGGATAGAAGTCAGATTAGAAAGAGATAAAGAGTAAACAAAGAATATGCTTTGGCAATGTGATATACTAAATAGTCTAAACAACTGTCCTGATGAGAACAAATGATATAAGATATCCCATTACATTATGTATCATCTATATTGTATCTGTTAGAGACTGAATGTCTGTATACCCTCAAAATTCATATGTTGCCATCTTAACCTCCAATGTGATGGGGTCTTTGGGAGATAAGATTAAGTCATGAGGGTGGAGTCCTAATGAATGGAATAGGTATCCTTATAAAAGAGACCCCAGAGTTCTCTTGCCCCTTCCGCCATGTGAGGACGGCCATCTTTATCCAGGAAGCAAACCTCATCAGACCCAGAATCTGCCAGACCTTTGAACATCCCAGCCTCCAGAACTGTGAGAAATGATTATTGTTTAAGCCTCTCAGTACTTTTGTTGTAATAGCCTATACATAGATACTATTTTATATATTATGATGTGTAATAATATATAAAATATGATATAAATGAGTACTAAACCAGGTCACTGTTTTATTTCTATTTCTTTAAAATCCTGGAGACCATGGTATTTCAAATTCCATTTAGATGGTTGCTAAGGGCACAATGTTAAAACCTAGAATTTGTTCAAAGTGGCAAGCCAACCTCAGGGTAAAAGGGAAAGATTAAGAGAAAAAGAGAAATTGAGAGACACAGTGAGAAATTTCAACTGAAACCTTAACCAGTTAACACCTGAGCACTGGGCATGGAAAAAAATAACCTCTGAGAATTCATCATCACTAATAGCCCTCAATTAGGTTAGTAGCTGAAATTTATACTAGTTGGTAATACGAAAAATTTCAAGTATGGAACTTAATTTAACAGAGTCCCAGGTTAGAGTGACCTCTACAACAGTGTTTGTATGCTGATGGGAATAATTTACGTCACAGGTAAAAACCAAAGTTGCAGAAAAAGAGATAAGCTGAGAATGGGAGAGAGAATGGAATCCCAAGCACGAGAGAAAGGACTGGAATTTGATAGGAAAAGAGATCTGTCTTCCATATACTGAGGTAATAAAGAGAATAGAGACTTAAGCATAGTTTTAGTAACAAAATGAGAACATTCTTCTAATGATTCCTTTTTTCTCAATGGGGCAGAAGGTGACTGAGAGAAGGCGACTGAGAGAAGGCAGGAATAAGGTAAGACACACGAAAGGTTTGAGGACAAAGAAGAGAGTACAACTATCACAGAGTAGAAAAAGAACCCTAATAAGAAAATACAGCAGGATTACCAGGCACTGCTCATTACCACAGGAGACTTTTTTGGTTTTGGTCTGAATAAGGTCAACAGTTATTACTAAATTTCTTTCCAGGGTTACAATTGAGCTTTTTGAGCTTATCATAAACACAGTTCGGAATGTTTTCCTTAAAGACATTTCCTTAAACTTGCTCTTCATAAAGTTCAACTGATACCTTTCTTCTCACTCTGTCTTGTTAGGTCTTATTATGGTTAATATACACACACACATGAAAGACACATGGGCAAAAAGAGACAAAATAGAGAGATGAATGGTAAAAGACGTTCTCAGAAACATACACACAACAGACTCACCAACCACGATGGGCAAGAGTAGGGAACAGGGAACTGGGAGGTGGTACAGCTGGGTCCAGGAAAAGGCAACTGACAAAAACTGTCAGGTCAGAAATGTGAGTGTGTTCGTCTCTTAGGGGCAGAGTTATGGATGGTTTTTATGTTCTTCTCTCACCTAATATCCTTTTCCTATAATGAGTATTTATTATTCATTAAAAATAATGATAGCAGTAAAGTAACTTCTATGGCTGACTTCTCAAAAAATGAGTTTTTTTTTTAGACTTACTTTCTCCATTAATTTTTAAGAAGCTATCAAACATAAACATTCTTACAAATTATAAATGAAGACAAATAATGAAAGTTTCATAGCTTATCTAATTTTTCATTAGCTTAGTTGTTCATGACAGTACAAACACGTAAGTACTTACTAATTAATTGGTAATTCTTTACAAACAGATTTTTAAATCTTCATTAAGTTGAGATGACTTTAATAATAAATATAAATTGTCAGTATTATTTTTTAGTCTTAATATACACTTTTGTAGTCTCACAACTAAGCACTATTATCTACCTACAGTGTGGATCCAATTTGTAAGAAAGATTTATGAGATCTTTTGCTACAAAAGTTTAAATCACCAAATGTTACTCTGAACATTTGCTACTTTTCCTTAAATAATACTGAATCTTATTGCCAAATTATTATTCTCATACCTCTGAAGAGCTTTCATTATTGACATCCACTGTGTTTATAGGAGCTGCTGATGAATCTAAATCAGAACCTTGAGAGCCAACTCGCCCAGGAGTCTGAAACACAAGCAGAAGGGGGGGGTGGGGGGAGGGAGAAATCAAGGTAAATATCAACAATATACTCATAAACTATTTAATAACTAAAGAGTAATCAGGGCTAGCCTTTACACATCAAAGTAGATGTCCTCTCAATAACAACAAACAGCACTAGAAGCTATCCTTTATTGAAGACTGAACCTAATACTGTATCAATATCTCTATCTGCATTCTTTCAGCTTTAGTCTTTTTAAATTAATAAAAAGTTTACCTTTATAAACTTTTTATTTTGATTGTGCTTTATCATCTTCACCTCACTTTCACAGAGTATCTTATTTAATCATAATGATACCCCTGAGAGATGCAGGGAAAATGCTTTATCTATAGATGAGAAAACAGATTCAAGGCAGCTAAGAGACTTCTCAAGATTGTACTGTTAATAAAAATCAGAAAGAAACAGAACTAAAATGCTGTAATTCTAATTCCTCTTGCATTGCTCTCCATTATATCAACTGAACTACAAGGATTTGAGAGGAGCTAAAAAGATCAACAGAGGTCACATTATCTAGTCACCCACCTACGTACTACCCATGCCAACCATTACCAATCTGTCTCCAATATTTAATATTCCACCATCAAAGAAACAGTTTGGAGGGTTAAAGGCCTTTTTTCCTCCTGAAACATTATTCTTCTTTATACTTAGGTTATGACCTTAAAGGAAGTGGAAATCTACTATAACATCAGGTAAAAGACAGATTCAGAGTACAAGAACTGACTCAATAATCCTTATCAAAAAACACTGAGTGCAAACTATCATTATTCTCACCATATGCAAGAGAGAATAAAGGTGTGGAAATTAAGTTACTTGCTCCAAGTCACATGACCAGTAAGGGGAAGAAAAAATCCCTCACAAGAGAGATGAGCCTCCAAAACACCTGGTTTTGAAAAACCATGTGAAGTATGTCCAGAAAAACTACAGAACTATAGGGAATAGAAAACCTACTCTTAAAGGACTTGCATACAGATTGACTTGACCTGAAAATCAGGGTAAAAACACCAGAATGAAAAGTGCATGGACCACACAGATTCCAAGGGAGAAAAAAAAAAACACACAGCTAACTAAATAGCTAAATAAAACAGCTAACATGGAAAAAAGAAAAGTGTATGGACCACAGGTGAGGGGACTCACCTACTCATCTTGAAACATCTGCTATAGAGAAAGGAACCAGCTGGAGTGCTCCACGGGTCTGATCCACTGAAGGAGCCACTTATGTGATCTTGCTATACTAACATTGGCAGGCACCACATTGGAATCCTCCACCCAGCCTATCAGCACCAGTGGGAGAGCACTGCACCTCGGCTGGGTCTCATAGCTGGCCAAGCAACAGCCCCTGGTGACCAGGCAGGATTGTGCTTCTGAGACTCACAAGACATCTCCTAAATAAGGCCACTCCTTCTAGACTAGGAGAGACCGCTGATATACCTAATATACAGAAACAAATATAAAGAAATAGGCAACATGAGGAGATAAAGATATTCCAGTCTAAAGAGTAAGACAGAACCTCATAAAAAGAACAATATGGAGATAAGCAATCTACCTGATAAGAAGCTCAAAAAGAATGGTCATAAAGACAACAGCCAAATACAGGTGAAGAAAAAATCAGCATTGTGAGAACTTCAACAAAGAGAAAACAGAAGTCATAACTGAAAACTATGCTAGAGGGGTTCAACAGCAAACTGGATTAAGTAGAAAAACAAATCAGCCAGCAGGAAGATAAGACAATGGCACTCACCCAGACAGAGCAGAAAAATGAAGATAGTATTTTAAAGTGAAGACACCTTACAGGGCCTTTAGGGCAATATCAAGCAGAGTAACATTTGCATTATAGAGGCTGCAGAAAGAAAAGAAAGAAAGGGACAGAAAACCTGTTTAAAGAAATAGTTGCTAAAAACATCCTTAGCTGGGGGAAGGAAACAGATATCCAGGTCCAAGAAGCACAGAGAATTCTCCAAACAAGATGAACCCAATGAGACACATACCAAGACACACTATAATTAAAACCATAAAAGGGATCAAGAGAGAATCCTAAAAGCAACAAGACAAAAAAAACACATCGTTCTGCACAAGGGAAACCCTACAGTACTATAGCAGAGTTTTCAGTAGAGTCTCTGAAGGCAGAAGGGAGTGGCATGTCATAGTCAAAGTGCTAAGAAAAAAAACTTCCAACCAAGAATTCTCTACCTGGGGACTTCCTGGCAGTCCAGTGGTTAACACTCTGTGCTTCCAACGCAAGGGGTGCCGGTTCCATCCCTGGTCAGGTAACTAAGATCACACTAGCTGCCCAGCACAACCAAAAACAAGAATTCTCTACCCAGCAAAGTTTTCATTTCGAATTGAAGATCAAGAAAACTCTTGATGAGCAAAAACTAAACGTGTTCATCACCACTGAACTGAGCTAACAAGAAATATTAACAGGGTTTCTTTAAGCTGAAAAGAAATGGCACTAATTAATTGAAAAAAAAAATGACAAAGTAAAAAAAAACTCCCTGCTACAGGTAAATATATGATAAAGGTAGAGGATCAATGACTTAAAGCAAGCACAAAGGTTAAAAGACAAAAGTACTAAAAACAACTAAAATTATACTAAGTGGTTAAATGATGCATAAAAAGAAACAAAATGTGTCATCAAGAGAGTAAAAGACAAAGCTTTGGAATGATTTCTAATTTAAGTTGCCAGCAACTTAAAACAGGTTACTACTACTTACATAGAATATCATAGGTGAACCTTACAGTAACCACAAGGAAAAAACTTACAGAAAATATACAAAAGAAAATGAAAAAAGAATCTGAACATGACACTTAAAAAAAAAAAAATTCACACTATAACACGAAAAGAGGGAAGAACGGATAGGAACTATAAAAACAGCCAGAGAACAATTTAAAAAATGGCAATAAGCACATGATTATCAGTAATTACCTTAAATGTAAATGGACTAAATTCAGTAGTCTTACGTCAAGAAATAAGAAATACCCAATAAGCAGTATAGCCTTACACCTAAAGAAACTAGAGAGGAACAAAGCCCAAACTTGATAAAAGGAAGGAAATAAAGGAGAGAAATAAAATAGAGATTAAACATACACACACACACACACACACACACACACTATAAAAGATCAATGAAACTAATCTCGTTGGTTGAAAAGATTAAAAAAAAAAAATTGCCAAACATTTAGCTAAACTCACCAGGGGAAAAAAGAGGACTCAAACAAGATACACGATAAAAGATCAATGAAACTAATCTCGTTGTTTGAAAAGATTTTTAAAAAAAATTGCCAAACATTTAGCTAAACTCACCAGGGGAAAAAAGAGGACTCAAACAAGAGCAAAGATGAAAAGAGATGTTACAACTAACACACAGAAATACAAAGGATTTCTTATATGAATATGCTCCAACAAACTGGACAACCTAAAACAAATAGATACATTCCTAAAAACACAGTCTTCAAGACTAAATCATGAAGAAACAGAAAATCTGAATAGACCAATGACTACTAAAGAGATTGAAACAGCAATCAAAAATCTCCCAACAAACCAAGGCCCAGAGCAGACAGCTTCACTAATGAATTACACAAAATATTCAAAGATTTAATCCCTATCCTTCTCAAATTCTTCTGAATTTTCCAAAAACTGAAAAGCAGGGAAGCCTTCCAAACACATCCTGTGAAGCCAACATTAATGAAAACCAGTCAAGGAAACCACAAAAAAATAAAAATAAAAAAGAACAGGCCAATATCCTTGATGACAATAGATGCAAAAATCCTCAACAAAATATTAGCAAACTGAATCCAACAATACATTAAAAGAAGCATACATCATGATTAAGTGAAATTTATTCCAGGGATGCAAGGATGGCTCAACATCCACAAAATCAATAGGATACACCACATTAACAAACTGAAAGATAAAAATTATATGGTCATCTCAATAAATGCAGAAAAATCATTTGACAAAATTCAACATCAATTTATGATAAAATGCTCAACAAAGTGGGTATAGAAGAAACATAATAAAGGCCATATATGACAAACCCACAGCTAATTTCACACTAAACAGTGAAAACTGAAAGCTTTCCCTCTTAGGATCAAGAAACAAGACAAGGATGCCCGCTACTACCACTTTTTTCCAACACAGCATTGGAATTCCTAGCCAAAGCAATTACGCAAGAAAGGAAAAGAAAAGGAAATAACAAACTTCCAAATCAGAAAGTAAAACTGGTGCACTATTTGCAGATGACATGATATGTAAAGAAAACCCTAAAGATCACACACACACACTGTTGTCACTAATAAACATCATAAATGAATTCAGTGAAGTCACAGAGTACAAAATCAACATACAGAGAAATCTGTGGTATATCTAGGCCAATAATGAACTATCAGGAAGAAAAATTAAGAAAACAATCCATGTATGACTGCACCAAAAAGAATAAAATACCTAAGAATAAATTCAACCAAGGAGGTGAAAGCTTTTGCACAATGAAAACTGTAAGACACTGATGGGGGCTTCCCTGGTGGCTCAGTGGTAAAGAATCCACCTGTCAGTGCAGGAGACCCGGGTTTGATCCCTGGTCTGGGAGGATCCCACACGCCGTGGAGCAGCTAAGCCCTTGTGCCACAACTACTAAGCCTGTGCCCTGGACTCCGGGAGCCGCAGCTACTGAGAGCATGGGCCACAGCTGCTGAATCCCAGCGCCCTGGAGCCTGTGCTCGGCAAAAAGAAGCCACCGCCACGAGAAGCCCACACACCGCAACGAGAGAAAGGGCCAGCGCAGCAATCAAGACCCGGCACAGCCAAAAATACATACATTTTTTTTAAAAGACACTGATGAATGAAGTTGAAGAAGACACAAACAAATGGAAAGGCATTTTGTATTCATGGACTGGTGAAACATTCTTTAAATATCCATATTCCCCACAGCAATCTACAGATTCAATGCAATCTCTTATCAAAACTCCCAAT